TAATGCATGTAACAAAATATACTGATTATGCAAGTACATTTAATTGGATATAATTAAAATAATGACATTTAAATACTGATGATTTTAAAAAGAAAAAATAGAAGTTGAAATTATCCACCAGATGCATTCAAAATGTTAATGAAACTTGCAATGTCATTACTACTTTAATATATAATACTTCTGGTTTAAAAAAGAGCTACTACTGGCCATTGTTGCCCAGTTCTAAACACATAGTTTAGAGATGTATTCACTTGGTAATATAAAAGATTTCATTGGTTAATATAATCATTCTTTGCATTTGGATAACATCTCGTTTTCAAATAACTAGAGCAAGAAGCAATCCCTATTTTCTTCAAAAGTAGGCATCAAATGACCGAAAAGATAAGAAAGCAAATATTCCACCAGAAGAGACCTGTGTTTGGTTAAATGGACATAATCTCAAAAACCCTCACCAATGTCATTCTGACCTAAAGATATCAAATTCAGGTATTCTGTCAACTCCAGTGGCTTTAAAGAGGCTGAAGATGACCAATGACGTAAGAAAAGAACAGGTCTGCAGCTGTGAGGCTGTATATTGGTTTAAAGTTTCAAAGGAGCCTACTGTCTCCAATGTAACTAAAGAATATTAAATTTCTTTTCTGACCTCTTCGTCTGGCTCACTAGCAACAGTACAGAAAAGATGATATAAGAGTAACTTTCATTAAATTAGCTTGAGGCTAAAGCTTTGTTTGGTAGGATATTCTAATTGTTCATATTACAGAAATGGAAAAAGAAGCTTTGAGGTCTACATGGACCTAAACTTCCAAAAATTTCTTAGGAAAAACCCAATGTATCCAATTAACTTTGGCACTTAAAATAGAGGAGTTCACATTACCATTTACTGATGAAGTAATGGAAACACAGAATTACAGTGTTGAGCCCAGAGCCATATAACTATGGGGTAGAGCAAAAGAAAAAGACAAAAACCCTGGAATGAGCATCTTAGATCCTAGATTGAATGCCAGGTTACAATCATTCAATTCCACTCATACAATTTCAGACTATTGCAATGCAGAGATGACAAAGGATCAGTTAAAATTCGTATGGACTAGGTATACTTTTAGGGGTCTGTCTCTTTTTTGAAGAATTTCACTTTTGCTTCCCACTTTTATCAGATTCCAAACACAGGTAGTACTCCAAACAGCAGAGGGCTCAACATGTAAAACCTTTTACACAGTAATAATATTCTCTAGGACCTACAGGTTAAGAATTGCATCCTTTCCAAATATCACATGATGCCCACCACAGGCTTGTACAGTGTTTTCGACCCATATATTGAAAAAGCACTGGTTAAGCTGAGTCAAAATGAGAAAAATCATGTCAATTAACTAGAGGTATGACAGTACAAAATGTCTCTCAGAATTCATCGAGATTAATGACAAATCAGAATAGAGAAAGGAATTAATGCAGTTCAACAATATTCAGAAAATGAATACAATT